GCCCAAAAGACCTACCTTTTAAAGGAGCTGATATATATATATATATATATATTATATAATATTATATTACATTATGTATATATCTATATATCTCTATACATATATACATATACATATTATATTATATTATATTATATTATATTATATTATATTATATTATAGTATAGTAGAGTATAGTATAGTATAGTATAGTATAGTATAGTATATTATGGTATAGTATAGTATAGTATAGTATAGTATAGTTTAGTATGGTATAGTATAGTATAGTATAGTATAGTATAGTATAGTATAGTATAGTATAGTATAGTATATATATATATATATAGAAGCCATAATAAGGAATCCTGAAAAGGTAGGTCTTTGCGGCGGCTACAGGTACAGTGCCCCCCTGAATACCGACAACCCTAATAGCCACCCTTAAACTTAGGAGCCCTTTAAACTTTTTTGGTTTTTTTAAACCCCTACAAAAAACAAAAGTTTAAACTTTTTTGGGCCAGGGTATTGGGCTTAAGGGTAAATCCTTTCAAGGAGCCATTTAAGAAGGAGCTGAGCCTCCTTCTCACATGAAGCCACCGGCTCCTGCGCTGACCTCGACGGTTTAGGGTTTAGGGTTTAGGGTTTAGGGTTAAGGGTTAAAGGACCATGGGACTTAGTAAGTAGGGTTATAATTAGGGTAACTGTACTGATATTTACTTATAACCCCATTTAAGGGACTTATAACCTTACTTACTAAGTCCCGTGATCCTCCAAGTATTGATCCCTTATAGATCCCGTTTAAGGAGTCCTTGAAGGAATCCTTCAAGTTACTAAGTCCCATGATCCTTCGAGTGCCGATCCTGAGGCTCATCAAGAACTCCTGGGACTACGACTGGGGCATCTGGGCATACCTTCGAAGAAGCCTCAAGTCTACCGTGCCTATTTCCATAGGGTTCATAATAAGAACCTGCAAAGAGTAGGTTAGGGTAGTTTCCGGTAGACCCCATAACGAGGTTCTCAACCCACTGCAACATTTCAGTTAGCTGACAATGATACCACTAGTTATTATTATGAGTGTTGTGATTATTATTGTAATCAGCATCACTATTGTCATAATCGTTGTTAATAAGAATGATGGTGATGATGATTGTTGATAATGATTCATTACTATGTTCTATTAGTATTAGTAGTATGCGTTTCATGTTTCTTTTTTCTTCTTTTGAGTATTATTGTTAAAAATAACAATCTTCAGGGCCCTCTCAGTGGCTCTGTGTGGCGTGCATGCCCTTCCCGCTTGATTCGCTTGTCTACACGGTGCCAGTACTCCAGGTATTTTCCCGAGTAGTAGAGTAGGTAACCTGATTTACATAACCTCTTTGAGGTACCTCCCAATATACTCCCAAAGGTTAACCTTTAGTTCACAAGGATACTGGGCAAGTAGGTCTCCCCATAGGCACAACATCGAACTTGAAGCCGTAGACTGTAATTAATAATTAGTGTTCTTCGAAGTTCGTTTTTGTTTCACTCTACAGCCCCTAAACCCTAAACCCTAAACCCTAAACCCTAAACCAAGTTAGTTGCATTGTGGTTCTAGGCACTGAAGTAGACAACAAGGTGAGGAGGGATTCTTCAAGATGGAGGCCTTCAAGAACATGTGCCTCGGCTGCAAGTGAGCTCAAGGCTCTTCGGGGGTTTAGGGTTTAGGGTTTAGGGTTTAGGGTTTGGGGTTCAGGAGTTAGGTTTTAGGGGTTTAGGGTTTAGGGTGGGATTCTGGGCCTTGGGGTCTCGACTGCTTAAGGCTTTTTGGATTTGCCTTTCTGTGATGAAGACTTGCCTCAGAGCCTTGGGTTTACATGGGGTTTGTCTTTGTGTTGAGCTTTTCTGGGAGTATGTTTCGGGGTGCACAACAGCTCAGTCTCTATGCCGCAAGCCGAAGCACCAACTATCACTTCCTGCGTCCTGCAAGGCCTAGAGGCCAAACCGAAGACCCTAAACCCTAAACCCTAAACCCTAAACCCTAAACCCTAAACCCTAAACCCTAAACCGATCCGAAATGCGTGTATAATCACCAACACTTAGTGAAATCCGTACCTGCACCTTCAGCAACTCCTACTATTTCCAAGTAGCCCTACACTCCAGGCAGCAACACGGAGAACACAGCAAGGGCTCTGAAACCTTGTCTTCATGCCAGCGTGAGCAATTCACAGGGCTTTACCATGGTTTTATAGCCCCAGGGGTCCAAGTACCTAAGAATCATATACTCTCCCAAATAGTAACCTACATAACTACTACCCGAAACCTAAGTACCTAAAACCCTAAACCCTAAACCCTAAACCCTAAACCCTAAACCCTAAAGCCTTTGAACCCTTAGGGGAGGGCTGCTTTGCTCATGGGTTTGGGATTTCAGGTTGAGGAATCGGATCGAGGTGTGGGGCTTAGGAATCCGATTGGAGCTTGGTGGTTAGGAATCTAGTTGGGGTTCGGGGTTCAGGAATCAGGTTTATTTGGGGAGTGAGTAGGTTCGAGGATTCACAGTTTTTGTGGTCCCAGGTTTTGCGCTGGATCTGACTTCCGAGCATCGCAAGGCATCCAATGTAGTGCCAGTCTCGTTACTTAAGGACTACGTGACCACTAAAGCTTGAACCTTCCCGAAAACTCTAGCTTGCTTTGAAGGCTGGGGATTTAACCGCCGCATTTCTGGGCCGAGCCCTAAACCCTAAACCCTAAACCCTAACCCTAAGCCCTAAACCCAGGTGCGGCGTCGCAGATTGCATGGCCTATCCTGACTTGGGCTCTCATGAACCGGAGTCGATCCTGGTGTGATGGGCGGGGCGTTGGTGCTCAGTGCGGCGTCGGGGCCACTAAATTCTAAAATATATGTAGGTCGCAACTACCTAAACTCTAAACCCGAAAGAAGTGTACATGTTTAGCCTTCGGGACATGTTCATGATGTTGCTCTTTATTGGACTATAGGGGGAGATTATTTAGGAATGTGTGCTTCAGAGGGTTTAAAGAGCCCACCTGGAGTAGCTAAGGCTTGTAGACTCTACTTTTCCCATGCTCCTAATGAAACTTCTCCAGCGACAAAACAATGTAAGGAACCCTCGGAAAGCAGGTAGATCTAAGCTCTAAACCCTGAAGCTGCTTAGGGTAGGATTGTCAGACACAAACTCGAACTAAATCCCCTGTAGGGGTGGGCCCTTTGCATGTTGAGGTCCCCGGAAGCCGGAATTAAAGCCCGAAGCATAGCCTTAAACCCTAAAGCCGCAAAGGGCTCAAGCCCCACACTCCTAGAGTTTGTTATGGTTTAGCTTAGTTCTCCAATACCCGACCTTTAAACTTTCTGGGTTTTGATATAGTTTAGTAGTAATCTGAAAATTTAACCTTTATTTCCCCGGCTTATTGGGGAAGTAAGTAAAAACCCTAAACCCTAAACCCTAAACCCCGTAAGTTAGGGTTTGGGGCTGACGGCCGAGCTCCAAGCAGAGATGCACACCGCAGTCTCGTGGTCGCCAACAGAGCTGGCCCATTTTATCTTCCGACCGCGGTGCTTGCAAGAACTTCTTGCCGTTTAGGGTTTAGGGTTTAGAGTTTAGGGGTTTAGATTTTAGGGTTTAGGGTTTTTTGCCGACCGGTTTTATGGGTTTAGGGTTTAGGGCGACGGCTTGCGCCATAAACCTCGGGTTTGGGGTTTAGGGTTTGATGGTCTACCGGGCCTTGCGAAAAGACGTTGGGTACCGTTGGGTCCTGCTCAGGTACCCAAAACCATGAACGAAGACTTCTTGCGGTTTGTGGTCACTTTGGGCTCGAATGGTTCGCTTTCGGGGTAGGAGTGATATTTTGGAGCGTTTGCGTCGGTGCAGCCTCTAACGCCATGAAGAACAATGCATAATGATGCTTACGGTGTTTGACCTCAAAGGGCTTGGGAAGGGTTTGGGGTGGGATGTCTTGCTATGCTTTGGTTATTGCGCTTGCTCTTTATGCCCTCATACGATGTCAGAAATCATAGTCTGACTTTGATGGTCACCGTAAACCCGCTAAGCCCTAGACCCTGAAACCCCAAACCCTAAACCTCTACCTAAACCCTAAACCCTAAATCCTAAACCCTAAACCCTAAACCCCTATACCCTAAACCTCTACATCCCAAAGCCTAAGACCCTCAACCCTAAACCTTGGCTTGCTATCATCACTAACACTGAGAGCAGCTTTAACAAAGTGCTTAGGGTTCGACTTTGGGCGCTGGTTCTGTTTTGAGTTTAGGGTTAAGGGGTTTCGGGATCTAGGGGTTTAGAGTTTAGGGGCTTTGGGTTTAGGGCTTAGGGTTCAGAGTTTAGGGGCTTCAGGGTTTGGGGCAACGCAAGGGTGTATCCCTAAAGCCTCAGCCAAGCTGTTGGAGGTCGGCGTTGGCAACCTTTCCTCGCGACGATTTGTGTACGACCAGGCTGCTCAATTTAAAGCGAAGGGTGGACGGGGGTGGAACCCTAAACCCTAACCCCGGGTAAGGACAACATGTTCCGATGGCCAGGCATACCCGACACTGCTGGAGTTTGCATCTTCGGGGCCCCATTAGGGGTCCTGCGGCTGTGATTTCAGCAAGTTGTCTTTGGTGTTATTGCTAGACTCCGGGGTTGTGGGTTTAGGGTTGTTAGACACTGCACGGTATATCAGAACTTGAATCCCAGTCCCTCAGACAAGGACAGAATCAGCTTGCCCGGACAAACCCTAAAACGTATGAACGCCTTGAAGGAATCCTTTGACGAACGCCAAATGCCGCTAAACGCCTAATCCATTACGTAAAACCCGTCAGCCGAGATGACAGAACACTAAGGGAACACCCCAAGTGCAAAGAAACCCTACACCCCTAACCTAGACTCCTAATCCATTAAAGAAACCCTACACCCCTAACCTCTGCCACACATAACCCCGAATCCACCCCAGACCGTTCCCACCGGTGTTGCCAGTGCTACTGCTGTCGTCGCCGTGGGCTTTCTTCCAACGTCTGTTCCCTAAACCCAAACCCCTTAACCCTAAACCCTAAGCCCCTAAAGCGTAAACCCTAAACCCAAACCCCCTAAACCCCTAAACCCTACACCCTAACAAAAAAAAATCCTAAACCCCGAAACCCCTAAACCGTAAACCCTAAACCCTAACCCCGCAAACCCCTAAACCCTAAACCCTAACAAACAAAAAGCCCTAAACCCCTAAAGCCCTAAACCCTAAACCCTAAACCCTTAAGCCCTTAAGCCCTTAAGCCCTAAAGCCCTAAACCCAAGCCGCTGAGACCCAACCCAAAAAAAACAGGCAATGAGCTGATCGCCCAAC